GAACAGTTAGAAATGAAAGGATCTTGGCCACCCAGGAATCAAAGAACTTTCGAAGACTTAGACATGAACAACTTGTGGTCGATCGGCGGATGGGGAGGCAGACAGAGGCGCAAGGAGCATAGGGAGGCAGGAGGAAGGAGGAGGCAGAGCGTCGACGAGGACGAAGGAGCAGGAGGGCATGCCTCAGCTCGGCCTCGATGCACCGGATCATGGGCCAGGCGGGCGGTAACGGGGGGAGGGGCGATCAACCAGGGGGCAAGCGATTCCACGTGGCTAACCAGGAGGGGTGACCAACCAGGTGATTCGAGAAGCAGAAACCGGCATAACATAAACTGTTGACAATCCGCGCGGATTTCTTATATCTGAGCTAGACCCCCCTCCCTGGCGCGCGCCAGCGGCGGCGCTGGAGGCGCCGCCAGAGGGGCCCCAGCGCATATCCAAGAAATCCGCGCGGAGCGCAAAAAGTTTATGTCTATGCCCTTTGCTCTGGTTCGATAGATGGAACAAGTGCTCTCGGGCGGATGGTAGTAGGGGGTGACCTCCCTCCATTTTGGCGGTGCGCACAAGGGGGTGGAGGGAGGGGGGAGGGCTTCTTAGAAGAAGGCTGCTTCTTAGAAGGCGCCGGCCTCACATCTATAGATGAGACCGGCGCCTTCTGAGAAGCAGGGAAGCGCTTCTGAGAAGCCCTCCCCCCTCCCCCCAACCCCCTTCTGCGCGTGGCTGATGGTTTTCGGGCCACAACTCGGGGCTCTGGCGGCCGTTCGGGACGATCTGGGCACCCCCAGAACGCCCTCGGCGAGGCGCAGCCGCTGGAGAGCATCCCGAGGCTGGAGAGCCGTTCTCGACGCCCGAAGACCTACGCCCGATGCCGCCCGCATCCCGAGGCTGGCGAGCCGCCGAGAACCGACGAAGACGCCCGAAGACCTACGCCCGACGCCGCCCGCCCGATGCTCTCGCGCCCAACCCCGTACGTGTGGCCGGCGCCTTCTGAGAGGCCTTCGGAGAAGCAGGGAAGCAGGGAAGCGCTTCTGAGAAGCCGTCTGAGAAGCGGGGAGGCGCTTCTGAGGAGCCCTCCCCCCCCCCACCCTGGCCATCGCTCGGACGTCCACTCCCTGTTTTGTTGCGGTTTCGCGCGTGGTTCTTTCGCGAAATGATAAAGATGCTCCTCGATGGTCCTCGCCGGAGGAAAAACGCACACGTCCGAGCGGTGCCAGGCACCCCCCTCCGCGCGCGGCCGACTGACCCCTGCCGCCCGCCCGATGCCCTCGCGCCCCGCCCCGCACAGGTGGCCGGCGCCTGGCCTCTGCTTCCCTGCCGCCGCTGCGCCGGCGGGCCCGCCGCCCGTTTTTTTTTTTTTTTTTTTTTTTTTTTTTTGTTTTTTTTTTTTTTTTTTTTTTTTTTTTTTTTTTTTTTTGTTTTTTTTTTTTTTTTTTTTAAATAATATATATATATATATATATATAAATAATACCCTCGCGGAGGAGGCTCGCCGAAGGCGGGGCCCCTGCAGTGGAGCGCGCCGTCTGCGTCTTGAGCGGTGGGCAGGCGGCAGCCTACTACGCAGGGAAGGAGGCAGAGAGAGAGAGATGTAGATATATATATATATATATATGTATGTATATAATTATGTATATATAGAAAAGGGGAGAGAGGAGATAGAGAGGAAAGAGAGGAAGAGAGAGAGAGGAAGAGAGAGAGAGAGAGGGAGACAGAAAGAGAGAGGGAGAGAGAGATGGAGAGTGAGAGAGGGAGAGAGAAATAACAAGACGCAACAACAAAAACTTAACACACCAGATGAAAGCGGTAGTGAAAAGGAGCACGGAACGACAAGGGCAGGGAGGGTGGGAGTGAGTGGGGGAGGGAGAGGCAGGGAGGGAGAGAGGGAGGAGGGCAGTGCGGATGCACCTGGATCACCTACGTCCCCATAGTTTTTCACAATCTAGATCGACCTGTACAAAATCTCATTCCGCTGGACCGGTTGTGCACCCCGAGTCGCCATTCGACGGCCCCCGGGCCCACGTGAAGCACCCGGAAGGGCGAAGACCGCCAGAAGCCCCCCGTGACGTCGCCTGCTGGCCGGGGCACGAGGGGGCAGGAAGATGGAATGGCACGTGCCTCCTCCTCCTCCTCCACCTCCTCCTCCTCCTCCTCCTCCTCCGCCTCCTCCTCCGCCTCCTCCTCCTCCTCCTCCTCCTCCTCCTCCTCCCTCCTCCTCCTCCTCCTCCTCCTCCTCCTCCTCCTCGACTCGAGGAAACACGACCACGGATCAGCGACGCGTGGGTGAGCGACGGGCCCCATTCCCCATGCGGAGTCGGAAGCGCTGGCGCCACCTCCCTCCCCGATCCGTGGAGCCCCTGAGCTCCGACGCCGCCAACAGATTGCAGCATGAGGAGGAGGAGGAGGGGGAGGAGGAGGAGGAGGAGGAGGAGGAGGAGGAGGAGGAGGAGGAGGAGAGGAGGAGGAGGAGGAGGGAGGAGAGGGGGAGGAGAGGAGGAGGAGGAGGGAGGGAGGGGGAGGAGGGAGGAGGAGGAGGAGGAGGAGGAGGAGGAGGAGGAGGAGGAGGAGGAGGAGCGCCAAAAATCGCCGCGGGAGCCCCAGACCCCACCTTTCTGCGCCGCTCTTCGAGCCGGATCGCTCCGTGAGGGCCCCGGGGGCCCGAAGCGGGGCGAGAGCGCCCGTGGCGAGACAATTGCCACGCCAGAACCTGGCGCTGGTGCGGCCGCCCGCAGAGTCCCCCTCTGGATCCTTCCCGAGGAAGGTCTGCGGGAGGCTTCTGGAAAGTCGTCCCGGGCTCCGCGAGGGGGGGGATGGGGCGAGGAGGGCTTTTGGAAGGCTTCTCCAGACGCCTTCCAAACACCTCCGACAAACCGTCCAAGCACCCTCCACGGGTCCCCGATCCGTGCCGGCAGGCGCCCGATCGGCGACGCCCGCCCCCGTGGGTGGCCTCCCTGGCCATCGCTCGGACGTCCATTCCCTGTGTTTTTCCGGTTTCGTGCGTGGCTTTTTCGCCAAATGATCAAGGATGCTCCTCGATGGTCCTCGCCGGAGGAAAAATGCACACGTCCGAGCGATGCCAAGCTCCCCCCCCCCCCCCGTTGGCGCCCGCCCGCGCTGGGCTTGTGGACGCCCACCGCCCGGCGCACCGCCAGGCTCTTCCCGAGCAGCTCGCCGATGCACTTCTGCTGCACGGCGCAGGCCACCAGCTTCAGTGACCAGCTCACCTGAGCGACGAGAAGAGGCGGGCCTCACGGGTCTTACGCACGCTGACATAGCGGCCTCACGCCGCAGCTGACCCGGGCCGCCAGCGCGGCACGCTTTGCTGGCAATGAGGTCGCTGACGCGCGACCTTGCTCGGGCAGCTTCCGCGCGAATGCCGGCTCAGTCGGCCCCGTTGTCTTTCGCCGCTCACCTCACATTTGCGGCACTCGCAAAGGGGTTCGAAGCTTCCAGGTTCGAGGTTTCGAGGTCTTCGGGCGTCTTCGCCGGTTCTCGGCGGCTGGCCAGCCTCGGGATGCTCTCCAGCGGCTGCGCCTCGCCGAGGGCGTTCTGGGGGTGCCCGGATCGTCCCGAAAGGCCGCCAGAGGCCCGAGCCCGAAAACCATCAGCCACGCGCAGAGGAGGGTTGGGGGGAGGGGGGAGGGCTTCTCAGAAGCGCTTCCCTGCTTCTCAGAAGCCGCGGGCCTTATCTGTAGATGTGAGGCCGGTGCCTTCTAAACAGCAGCCGCCTCCTAAGAAGCCCTCCCCCCTCCCTCCGCTCCGAAGACCATCAGCCACGCGCAGAGGGGGGTGGGGGGAGGGGCGAGGGCTTCGTGGAAGGAGGCTGCTTCTTGGAAGGCCCCGGCCGCAGAGTCTGTAGACAGGGCCCGCGCCTGCCAAGCAGTAGGGGTGCCTTTAAGAGGCCTCCTCCCCCCCTGTCCCCCTGTGTCAAACAGTGGCGAAGCGTCCTGGCGTGCCCATAGGCCTACCATACACTGTTCTAGGAACCTTCTGTGGTCTGCACGAAAGTGTCTTAGGACATGTACGGCTGGAACCGTCTTGTTTCTGAGAAGAACATTGTTTCTATTATTTGAAGATGTGTGGGCTCTAAAAAACCATGTGTGGGATGTATCGGGTTTATGCTCGAGGAACATTGTTTCTGTTGTTTGAACATGTGTGGGTTCTAAGAACATGTCGTGGTAGGCCTTTTGGAATGCCGGGACGGTCGGTCCCGGCTCAACCGTGCGCGCGGCCGATCACAAGCGGCGGGGAGTCCGGGGGGGAGGAGGAGGAGGAGGAGGAGGAGGAGGAGGAGGAAGAGGAGGAGGAGGAGGAGGAGGAGGAGGAGGAGGAGGAGGAGGAGGAGGAGGAGGAGGACAAGCTAGGTGCGCTCGCGTCATATCTGACGTCCTACCCCTCCCTCCCATCCCTTACCATGGCGCAGATCCCCTCTCTACTCGCACAGTCGGATGTCGAGCAGGGCAATGATCCCGAAAGGGTACGCGATGCATTGTAGAGCACGGCATGGCATGGCGTAGAAGAGCACCGTAAAGCGTAATATCAACCTAGGATTGCATTGCATGCCGTGGCATGGCACCGGAAATGACGAAAGCGCTTCAGCGGGAGCACGAGTCGAAACGAGCGGAAGCGCGGAAATGAGGCCAGGCCAGCGCTTCAGCGGGAGCACGATTCGGAACGAGCGGAAGCACGGAAATGAGGCCAGCGCTGCAGCGGGAGCACGATTCGGAACGAGCGGGGCCCGAAAATGAGGCCCGCGCCTCAGCGAGAGCAACATTTTGAACAAAAATGCACGCGAAAACCCAACTCCGGGAAAACCTATATGTAACTAAGAAACAGTACGCGGGGGGGGGGGTCAAACCGTCATCAGGGGAAGAGGGAGAGTAGTATTCATATTAAGTAATTGTGGAGGAGGAGGAGGAGGAGGAGGAGGAGGAGGAGGAAGAGGAGGAGGAGGAGGAGGAGGAGGAGGAGGAGGAGGCTGGAGGAGGGAGGAGGGAGGAGGACCCCAACATCGCTGCTCAGAAAGTGGGAGGGCTGCTCAGAAGGCCCGCGGAGTGTCCTGCGCATGCCACCAATCGCCTAGACACCGACACCAGCCTAGTACTGCAAGTGGTCGATGTGGGCGCCCCAGACGGCCGAATCGACCACCTCCACGACCGAAGGGGATCCCCCCGAGGTCGGCGGGCGCCCCCCCGAGGGCCCTACAGACAACTCCACTCAGCTGTGGCTGCGGCTCCTTGCTGTGCCTGGACTCCTCCTGCACTCACCCTCCTCTCTTCTGCAGCTCCCGCGTCCGCTTGGCCGCCCCGATCACCGCGATGTTCACGAGCGCTCCGACCCAGAACCGCGCCTGGGGGTCGCCTCCCCAGGGGCAGCTGTTGGACAGCACGAGACCTCCGAAGATGTACACGGTCAGTCCCGGCACCCAGGAGGAGCAGGGAGGAGGGCGGAGGTGAGGGAAAAGGAGGAAAGGCTGAGGATGAGCAGGAGGAGGATTAGGAAGGATGAGGAAGCAGTCGAGGAGAATGAGGAGAGGGGGGGGGGATGTGAAGAATCGAGGAGAAGGAGGAGGTAAAATAGGAGGTGGAGGAAGTGGCGGCGGATGAGGAAAAGGAAAATGAAGAAGAAGAGGAAGAGGAAGAAAAAGGAGGAGGAGGAGGAAGAGGAGGAGTGGAATGTCTTTTGTTTGTCTGTCAGGGTATCCAGGGCAGTATGCCACTCACCTCAACCACTCTCACATACAGACTCTCAGTTACATCAGCCCGACCACGTAAAATACACCGACGCCTGGACGGAAGGTTCGCATTTTTGTCCGCGGCTTCACTCACGAACACGGAACGTACAAGCTGGGACGTTGCCAACTCGACAAAGCAACGAACACATATCCGCAACAACCACCATCTCGGCCGTCGTCCAGGGGAATCGATCCTGCCCCCTCCGATGGGGCATGCCTGCGGCACGCTGATGCCAGTCTCGATCTGCGCCACCCATCCCGCCCGCACTCCTTGAGACGGTTTCCCTCAGATCCAAGATCCCACCAGCCTCGCGCCTGGATCGAGGAGCACCCAGCTGGGGACTGGCAACTTGTCTCCGGAGACCTTCGGCGCATGCTCTTGACGAACAATGCGCCAGAGAGACGGCTAAACCAGCAGATGTTCACACTTGTTGTGCCAGAAAGGTCCACGCTTGCTCTCTCTCTTTCTCCCTCGCTCGCTCCATTTCTTCCTTTCTTTCTCTCTCTCTCTCTCTCTCTTTTTTGTTCTCTCTCTCTCTCTCTCTATGTGTGTATATGTATCGCTCTCCCTCTGTCTCTCTCTTTTTCTCTCCCCCTCTGTCTCTCTGAAGAAAAACCTGGGGGCACCTGAGTGGGCACCCACCCCCGTCGCAAAGGGGGGACCCCTGGACGTTGGGGTTATGGTCCCGGGCCCCCAGCCACGTAAAGCGACACCTGACGGACACAGCCTATTGCTGGACTGGCTCCGTGGCATTCCGCCTCGGAGTGTAAATTCGAACCGTACCGTTAATTGGATTACTCAAGGAGAAATGCAAGCGGGGGCGGCGCGGCAAGGGCAGCAGGGGAAGGAGAGGAAGAGGAAGAGGTGGCGTCGGGCGGGGGGCGGTTGTGGTGATCGTCCTCGTGGTTGTGGAAGTCGGTGTGGCTGTAATGTAGTAGTCGGTAGTCGGCAGAATGTGTGTTGGTTTCCGCCGGCGCTGCGGTAACTGTAGCAGTTGTCGTGGCACCGCCGCCGAACAAGTGGTGGTTGTGAACGTCGCGATGGTGCCGTGGTTTGTAGGTGTCGTGCTGGCTGTAGCTGTCGGAAGGATAACGTTAACGGACAGAACACAGTAGTTGTGCTGTCCGTTAAGGAGGAGGAGGAGGAGGAGGAGGAGGAGGAGGAGAAGGAGGAGGAGGAGGAGGAGGAGGAGGAGGAGGAGGAGGAGGAGTGCTGGCTGTAGTTGTCGTGAGCTGCTCCCCTGGTGCGCTGGCGCGCGTGCTGCCGGGGAGCGGCGCTGGAGACAGATGCACAACGCAGGCCCACGGGCGCGGGCCACCAGACCTCTCCGTTAGGCCCCCAGGCCGGGCACGGTCACCGCCTCGGGCGGCGCTCCAGAGCGTGCGCACCACCTCCCGGCGGCGAGCCCAGCAGGGGGGGCGGGGGACGTCTTTTCCTCCTCCTCCTCCTCTTCCTCCTCCTGCCTCCTCCTGCTCCTGCCTCCTCCCCCTCCTCCTCCTGCTCCTCCTCCCCCTTCTCCTCCTCCTCCTCCTCCTCCTCCTCTTGCCTCCTCCTCCTGCATATGGAGATGGTCTGGTGCAGGGTGCTCCGCGCCTCCTGGCGCCCCAGGCCCCTATGGCACTTGCCGGGCGAGCCATTCTCGCGTGGACTCGTCCAAGGCCCCCCGAGACTTCAGACCCAAGGGGCGGGGAGCCTGCGATGCCACTGTGCTTGCGGCGCTCGGCTTCTTCCGCGAGTCTGGCGGCGGCACCGAGGGTGTGAGCCCTTCCAACCTGCATGTTATTGTTTGCACATTCAAACAACGAGCGTGGTCACACATAGTCTCCATTTGCTCTATATGTGTTTACTTGTTTGTCCATATCTTCCTTTATTTCTTTATTTGTTTCTCTCTCTCTCTCTCTCATACATGTGCGCTCAGTCTATCTCCTTGTCACTCTCTCTCTATCACTATATATATATATTTGTGTGTATATATCCCCCTCTCTGTCCCTCTCTTCTGGTGTCTTTCTGTTCCCCAATAGGTGCTTACACTGACAGGGTCCCAGCGGATGTTTAAAGATTTGGCGAAAGTACCCAGCCGATTCCGGTGGGCGGCCAAATTTCCAGATTCCCAACTCCGTGTTTTCGGGTTCTCCGTTGCTGGTTCCAGGCCAATTTCGATGGGCGGCGGGGTTCCTGGGCTTCCGGATTCCTGGGTTCCTAATCGATCTCCTTATCGGTCGGCCGCATAATCGATCTCACTAACCACCTACCCATCGATTTCACGATCGATCTCACTATCGATAACACCATCGATCTCACAATCGATCCCACTATAGTTGGCACGATCGATTCTCGATCGATCTCATTATCGGTCTCACTGAATCAACTTCACTATCGGTCTCACGATCGGCCTCACGATCGTCCTCACGATCGATTCACTATCGATCTCACTATCGATCTCACCACCGATCTCAATACTCATATCCCTCATTCTCAAGCCATCCACTAATTAGGGCTTTCTCGGGTGCAATTTGCTTTAAAAGCCCTCTCAGCTCCTTCAGCCCTCTATCAACTTATCTGATGATGTACACATAAATACACCCTAATTTCTCGACCCAACTCTGCTCAACTACACTCTTTACTATGTTTTCTCTCCTCCTCACCGTGGTCGCAAAGATCCGAGTACTTGAAAATTCGATAACCCTGGGACATTCCAGAGTCTGGCACCCTGGACGCGGAACTGGGAACGTGAAATCATGCAGGAACCCAAAAATGGGAACCCCAGAACCCAACCACCCATCGAAATCGTCCCGGCACTTTTGCTGGAACGGGAAACGGGAAACCCAGAAACCCGCCCGCCTACCGAAATCGGCCTGGTACTTTCGCCTATTCCTTGGATGTCCGCTAGGACCTCTTTTCAGTGCGAGCAAGGTCTGGGGAATGTTCTGCAACATCACGTCCTTCCTTGACTGGTCCATCAAATCAATAAAGACTAGTACCAAACTCCCCGGGCCCGACAAATAATTCCTACCAGTTTACTGTTCATTGAACGCCGAGAGCCGTTGAGTCCATGCACGACACTGGAAACTGTCATTGTCGCCGGTAAAATCCAACGTAAACGAAGAATGGTCACAAGGTCGTTCGCGAAGCTTGGACAGCCACTGTACTGCCAGCGAACGATTTTCAAAGCGACACTAATCTCTTACCTCCCTCCCCCGAGCCCGTGCGCGCAAAATCCGATGACGAGAAAAAACAGCCTTCTCCATGACGTCCGACAAGGGATTCTCCTCCATGCTGCTCCCCCCCCCCGCCATCGGCAACGTGTGTTCTCCAGTCCCAGCCGATCAACACCATCCAAAAATCACCCAGCGCAGACTCCAAATCGATCAGAAGACTGAATTGAAGCGGACTTGTTTGGACTGAAGTAGACAGGACTTCAGTGAACTCTACTCCACACTACTCTACTCTACTCTACTCCTCTCTGTTCTGGTCTACAATGATGAATGTTTCCTCCACCGTGCCCGCACGGAGTGGGCGTACTAGAATGCCTAGCCTGTCGTCGGGGAATGTGGTATCGTATTTTCCACCCCCCCCTCGACGCAGAGGGTCCGAAAAAAATGCCCCCTCGGAAGTGGCTTTCCGGCGCTGTTTCGGCCTCCAGACGGCCAGGATAATCTCCAAACCGGCTTCCAAGGCCAAGACAACCAGGATGACACCAAGACGGCCCAATCTGGCCCAAGACGGCTCAAGAGGCTCCCGTGACGACCAAGGAGGGCTCCAAGAGGCCCTCAAGGGGAGCCCGAGGAGGCCAAAACATGTATCTCCCACATGTTTTGAACAGATGTTGAAATTCTCGACTTTTTAGCTCTCCGACCGCCCAAGACATCCCAAGGAGCTTCCAAGACAGCTCCAAGACAGCTCAGGGAGCCCCAAAGAGGGTCCCGACTAGGCCCAAAAGTGAGTGAGCGAGACGGCTTGCGGGCGGGGAGGGGGTCTCGACTCTATCCTACCCTAACCTACTCGACTCTGCCCTACTCTACTCTTCCCTACTCCACTCTACTCCTACTCTACTCTGCTCCGCATCTGCTCTACTCTACTCCTCCTCTACTCTGCTCTGATATCCCCCGCGGTGCCTCTGGGTACAGAGTGGGCGTGTCCTTATGTCGTTTGCATACACGTCGTTCGTTTCTAATCGTGCTCATTTCAAAATGGGTTCGTTTCTACTTGTTCCTGTCCCCCCAGTTGCCAGGAAGGGGCCCAGGATAGCGCAATCAAAAATGAAAGGACCTTGGCCCCCTCAAAATCAAGGAACTTTGGAAGAGTTAAAAGCGAACAAGGTGTAATCCTCGTCGGTGATGAGATCGATGGTGAGACTGATCGATAAGAAGATCGACCAGGAACCCGGGAACCCGGGAACCTCGCCGCCCTCCGAAATTGGTCCAGAACCCGGAACCGGGAACCCGGGAACCCAGGAACCCAGCCTGCCACCAAAATCGGCGGGGAACTGTCGCCAAATCCTTCAATGTCCGCCAGGACCCCTTAAAGTGCAAGCACTGATTGGGGACAGGCGAACAAGGCGTAATTCCTCCTTCTCCTCCTCCTCCACCTCCTCCTCCTCCTCCTCCTCCTCCTCCTCCTCCTCCTCCTCCTCCCCCTCCTCCTGCAGGGGTCTTGACAGGGCCCCGCAGCCCCGAAGTCTCAGGTCCCCCCCGGGGGCCTCTCGCGCGCCCCCGTGGGGCGCTTCCCGCGTGCCCCGCGGGCGTCGCCACAGTGGGGCCGCGAGGGCCCCCTGGGGGCCCCGGAGGCGGTCCGAGGCACGGTGGGGGCGTGTTCTCTCCCCTGACCTTCCAGGAGGGTAAAACAATAGCGCCCGACTTAAACACCTATCCCAAAGCTGTTCTACGTCTTGGTGTTAGGCTGTTTCGCCCAGTGTTTTAGGTTTTTTTGGTCTCCAGTGCTAAAAAATGGCTCTCTGGAAGGTCAGGGTCTTCGCGGCCGAGGCCTTTGTAAATTCACGTGCAAAACTGGGCCCGCGCACGGGCAGATGCCGCCCTCCGCTCGCGCGAGGCGAGCCGCCGCCCCACGGGCTCCGGCTCAGGAGGCAGTGGATCGGGAGTCCAGGGTCTGGAAGCCAATGGGTCTCCAATCGTGGATCGGCCATGGATATCACCGCCGCCCTCATTGGCTAAGGATTCCTCCAGGGTCTGGCGCCTCCTGGGACTATTCCTTAACCAGCGCCTCCACCGTAGCCCCGGGTCGCCGAACGATCGCTCAAAGACGTCCAAAATGGCATCCAGATTGCCCAAGGGACCTCCAAGACGCCCCAAGAGGACTCCCAAGAGGGCCCCAAAGAGGTTGAAAATGAATCATTGATTTGCCTTAGGTTTGTGACGGACTTTGGCGTTCTCGCCGTTTTGGCTTCCCGACGCTCCCAGAGGCCCTAGAGGCCTCCGACCCCCCCCCCCAAGACGGCCCATGAGGCCTTCAAGAGGGCCCCCAAAGCGGCCCGAGAGGCCCCCAAGACGGCCCGAGAGGCGCCCAAAACGGCCCATGATGGGGCCCAAGACGGCCCCCAAAGCGGCCCAAGAGAGGGAATGCGAACCGAAAAATCCTAGCCTTCCGCCCCAAGAGGCCCCCCCGGAGGCCCCAATATGTGCCCATCCGGTGCCAAGGGGCCCCCCCAAGATGCCTCCAAGAGGCCCCCAGGAGGCCCCCAAGAGGTCCTCAAGGAGGCCCCAAGAGGCGAGGCTCCAAAACGGCCCCCTAGAGCCCTCCAAACTGCCTACAAGAAGCCCGCCTCCAAGAGGTCCCAAGAGGCGAGGCTCCAAAACGGCCCCCTGGAGCCCTCCGAACTGCCTCCAAGAGGCCCCAGAGAGGCCTCCCACGAGACTCCAACGAACATCCAATAGGCTTCACACCCACGACCTAGGCACGGTGGCTGGATGGGCCGAATGCCACTCGATCCGCCGCCCCCTGATGGCTTGACACAGGGGTGCCTGGCGTGCCAGATTTCAAGAGGTTGGTGGTTCTTTTAGAGCCCCCCCTGAGGCTTCGGCCGATGCCGCCGGCCACCCGGAAAGCTTGCCCAGAGGTGATTACAAACGGTGTTCCCGCTCCAGATTGCTCCAAGATGACCCAAGGTGGTCTCCAAGACGCCCAAGATGGCCCCCAAGTTCGCCTAAGATGGTCAAATACTGCCTCCAAGACGGCCCCAGAACGTTCAAGATGCCTCCAAGTTTGCCCAAGAAGCCTCCAAGACGGCCCAAGATGGCCTCAAGATGACGGCAGACGGCCCAAGAGGCCCCCAAGAGGCCTCCAAGACGTCCCTAGAGGCCCCCAAGAGGGCCTCCAGGAAGGCCCGAAGAAGTAAACATCATTGATTATCGTTCAGTAGTTTGATGGATGTTGGCATTTGCTGCTTTGCGACCTTCCGACGGCCCGAGACGGCCCAGGAGCCACAAAATATTACCCAACAGAACCCAAATAGACCCGAGACGGCCCAGGAGGCCTCCAAGAGGGCCTCCAGGAAGGCCCGAAGGGGTAAACATCATTGATATTCTGTCGGTGCTTGAAGGATTTTGACATTTGCTTCCTCTCGGCCTTCCGACGGCCCAAGAGCCCCCAAAGATCGCCCCAAGATCGTCCAAGAGGCCTCCAAGATGACCCCAGAACGGCCCTAGAGGCCCCCAGGACGGCCTCAAATAGCCCCAAGACGGCCCGTGAGGCCTCCAAGACGCCAAAAATGGCCGTAGGCCCTGGAGCACCCCAAGAGGGCCCCAAGTCGGCCCAGAGAGGCTCCCAAGGCGGCTTCCGACGGCGACAGACTGGCCAGAAGGCCATCAAGACGGCCCGAGATGGCCCTAAGATGACCAAAGATGACCCAAGAGGCCCCCAAGAGGTCTCCAAGGCGGCCCTAGAGGCCCCCATTAGGGCCTCCAGGAAGGCCCGAAGGGGTAAACATCATTGATTGTCGTTCGGTAGTTAGATGGATGTTGGCAGTTGCTTCTGTTCGGCCTTCCGACGGCCCGAGACGGCCCAGGAGCCACAACATATTACCCAACAGAACCCCGCTAGGCCTCCAAGGTGGCCCCAGAGCGGCCCAAGAAGCCCCCAAGACGGCCCGACGTAGCCCCAAGACGGCCCTTGAGGCCTCCAAGACGCCCAAGATGGCCTCCAAGACAGCCCTGGAGCACCCCAAGAGGGCCCTAAGTCGGCCCAAAGAGGCCCCCAAAACGGCTTCCGACGGCGTCAGACGGGCAAGGAATGCCCGCGAGAAGCTCCCAAAAGGCCCCCAAGAGGCCCTAAGGAGGCCACCGAGATGCCTCCAAGAGGCTTCCAGAAAGCTCCCAGGAGACCCCAACAGTGCCCCCAGAGGCTCCCAAGATGCCCCCTCCTCCTCCTCCTCCTCCTCCTCCTCCTCCTCCTCCTCCTCCTCCTCCTCCTCCTCCTCCTTCTGATCGTCCCCGCCATCCTCCCCCAAGTACTACCCAAAGGGTTACCGCAACGACTGGTGGAGCACATAGTCCGATAGTTTGGCAGAGCTCTTGCCACAAAGCTCGACCACATGGGCGATTCCAAAGGCAGGGGGCGGCGGTGATTCGCCGTGGGCGTCCTCGATACGATCCTCTACTCTACTCTACCCTACCCGCTCTCGTCTACGCTATATACCCGGCACTACTCTACCTTCCCGGCTCTACTCTTCTACCTTACTCTACTCTACTCTTCTCTAACTCTTCCCTATTCTACTCCCCTGCCCTGTTCTACCCTGCCCTACCGTACCCTAACATGGTCTACTGTACTCTGTTCCTATTCTCTCCTCTCCTCTACATGCTCCGCTTGACTCGACTTCACTCTATTAGGTTCTACTCGTCTCATCTACTCTTTCATACTCTTCCATATTGGAAGCCTCTGCCAAAGCAGAGGAAGCCATTCCAGTAGCAGAGGAAGCACTTGCAGTTGAAGAGAAAGCCTTTGCAATGGCAGACGAAGCCTGAGCAGCAGTTTCGGAAAACATCGAAGCATGGAGTCTTAATGGACCAGTTCTCTACGCACTGAGCCAGGACTCCTATAGGCAAACCTATTTGGAGGACATCTTTCCATGTTGCGAATTTCTTCCACAATATGCGGTTTTGCCAGCGGTTTTGCCAACGGTCTTTCTCATCGAACGGTTTCCGCAGATTTCCCCCTACAGCACGTGTCTTCTTGTGCATTTGTTGTGCCATGATTTTTGCTCCAGTTGTGCCAGTCCGGCGCTGCACGGTGGAGGCGGAAGAGGAAAGGGAGGAAGAGGATGCATGGAGGAGAGAGGAGGAGCACGAGGAACGACAAGCAGGGGCGAGGACCCACGGTATGAGGAACGCCAGGATGCCGGTGAAGAACACGACGAGGATGATGATCGGAAAGGGCCAGTCGGACAGCACCTTGCTGAGCCAGGCGAGCAGTACGTTGAGCAGCAGGGGGCAGATGGCGTAGCACACATACACGCCGCAGAACGTGTACACGAGCGGGAAGATTTTCAGCCACGGCCAAGTGTCCCAGACGTGGGCCAGCACGAAGTACACCCGCGGTGTCAGCGGCAGGGCGGCCAGGTCGGACATGCAGCTGGACCATTCCATCGACTCCGTCGTGGCTTCGTCGGCCTCGATCGGGATCCTCTTGTAGAGTCGCCGTGCCCGTCGGACCGACTGATTCGCCCACGACATCACCACCAGAATGGGGACGAGGGGCAGGAACGCGAACAGGAACGCCCTCGCCCAGCTCGCGGCCGCAAAGCCTCGTAGCATCCTTGAGGGCAGCCAAAAGCACAGCGCTCACGCGAGACCCGACCGCCCTTGGGAGCGTGGGACTGCGAGGGGAGCGTGCCGAATCTTACTACCACTGCTGTTACGGCTGCCCTGGATCCTGCCCATGGGCTGCTCGGCCATTCGCCGACCCATGTATGGGAAGATGCGCTTAAACGACTTGTATGCGAAGACGATGAAGGTGATGAAGAACACCACTACCAGCGCCACGAATGTGACGGCCATCTTCATGTCGGTGTACAGGAGCTGCCCCGCGATGTAAAATATGCCAAATATGAATATAAAAACACAGCATGTCGCCTTCATCATCTTCGACATGTGTCCCACGGCCACCTGCTCACATTCCTCGAGCACTCTGTCCCCCTCGCCGGCGCTGCTGACGCAACCTTTGACCATCTCCCGTGCCTTCTCCGACATCTCGGGGCTCTCCCATGCATCCATCGCAAAGGCAATGAGCTGATTCTTGTGATGATCGGTGGCCACGTAGGTGTCGTTCAAGAGGAGGCGGAGGTTTACAAAGATCGCGAAGAGCATACTGGAAAAGGAGACGATGATGGGCGCGGCCCATAGGAAGTACTCCAATTCTGTGTCTTCCTGGCTCATGCCGCCTTGCCAGCCGAACCCGTCGACCCTCTGGTCGTAATGCCTCAGCTGGTGCGTGGAGATCGCCCAGTACAGCCACCAGGCGAAGCTCAGCGCGAAGCTCAGCAAGAAGCCCGTCCTGCCCCCACGCATGAAGCTGATGAGGTCCTCCTCCCTCTCCGAGATGGCCGCCAGCAGCGCCATCTGCGCGGCCAGATTCCCAGACAAGACTACGGAGTCCTTCGTCAGCTGGGTGATCCTGGCTGGCCTCGAGACCAGCCGAATCAGAGCCACGCTCATGGGCGTGAGGGCCACCTGAGGATCAACGAGAGGGGGGCACTGGTCCAGAGGGGGAAACGTCGAGCTTGAATCGATGATACATCGCCGATAGATTGGCGATAGGCTCTTGATAGCAGATCCGCACGTTCCCAGGATGGGTGAAACTATCGGGCCGCTGTCGGTGATCAGTGGGAGATTGGAGGTGGATGCGTCCCCCCTGGGACTATCCCCCCTGACGTTGCCCCTGACCACCGTCAGGAGCAGTGGGATGCTGGGGAGGTCCCTGGCCGCAAGGAAGCCGGACGCGATCATAGGGGACGAACAGTGACACAAACATCAGAACTCGGAGGTCCGCACGGATTTCTCGGATCGGCGCTGGGGCCCCCCAGCGGCGCCTCCGGCGCCGCCCCTGGCGCGCTCCGCGCGCCAGGGAGGGGGGTCCAGCGCCGATCCGAGAAATCCGCGCGGACCTCCGAGTTCTGATGTTTATGCCACTCTTCGCCCCCCCGAGATGAAGCAGAGGATCGCGAGCGCAAAGAGGGAGGGCCCGACACAGGTGTCGCCCTCCGAGAGCCTGCGCGTGGTGCCGGGCAGGTGGGGCGGGCGGAAGAAGTCGAGCAGCGCGAGCGCGGCAACGATGGCGCTGCCGGCGCTCAGCGTGTACGCCCGCAGGAAGGCGTGGGTCTCGAGCCAGAGCACGACCTCGTGCCCCACGCCAACGACCTGGCCGCCCACGCCTCTTGGAGGTGTCCAAGGGCACGCAAGGAAAGACACACAACAGAAAAGATTCCCCATAGTCTCCCATGTTTTCGGGGTTTTCGTCTCCCCCCCCCACACTTCCCGTATTTTCCCATCTTTTGTGGGAGTCGACGATTGATTTTGTCTGCGAGTTTGTCCCCTCCTGACCTATGTCGGACCACAGCAATATGGCCGCCACGGAGGTGCTCACGGCGGCGACGCAGCAGCTGCAGGCGTACCCGCCGTACGTGCACCGGGTCCTCTCGAGCTGCGAGACCTGGCCCGCTCTGGAAACCCTGCATTTAGGTCGGGCCTGTCCCCCTACAGAGGGATTTTGGGCGAAAAATAAAAAATACCCCAAACATATCCCAAAATGGTCTGAAAAAAATCCAAAAATCGTCCCCATCTTATTTCTGGACTATTTTTCAATTGTCCCCCTTGTAGAGGGACAGGTCCGACTTAACCCTGCATGCAAAAATGTTGAGATCTCTTGGGGGCGCAGCTTCTGGTTTGCTTCCGCTGGCCTCCGCTGGATTCCGCCCGCGGAACCGCCACTGTTTTACGTCCGCTGGCCTTCCGTCAAAGAAGGTCGGCCCCCCTGAGATCCGGCGCTCGCGGAGAACACTTTTGGTCTGCGGGGCGAGAGCGAACCTCTTCCGATAAAAGCTAGGCGGGCTACGCACAGCTCTAATTGGGGAGACAGGGCACAGGCGGGCGGGGCCTCAGGCGGCTGGAGGGCGGGCCGGGGTGCGCGTTCGCGGAGAACACGCAGCATCGCAGAACTCACGGCCAGAGCCTCGAGTCCCAATCTCTCCGCGCCATGCTGAGCATCGTTTGACCGATCCCCATCCCCACTGGCGTGGCCTGGGCCCCACTGGCCCGTTTACCCCCGAGATGGGGACATAGGCCGCTCCCTTCGGGTTTCGAGGGGTGTATCCCCAAATGGCGTGGTGATTAGGTGGGGGTCTCGAATGGGATGGGGATGGGGATGGGGATCGGTTAAACGATACTGACATGCTTCGAACCCGGGCGGAAACCCAGCGTGAAGAATCGCAGGGCCCCGCCTCTCCGGGCACCGGGCCGGCCCTCGAAGCCCCGGCTTGAGGGGTCGCAGCGCCTGGAGCTAGGGCATCGAGCCCTCGGCGGCGAGGTCCCTTTCTGGAGCACCCTGCCTGCCACAGCCGAGTCCGATCGACTACACACCGGAGTGACCCTGCGTAAGAGCGACCTTTGGTGCGCGGCTTTTGGGGGGCCGGCGGGGGGGGGAGGCAAAACACGAGCGCGCAAGACGCTACTACCGCATCGCGTTCGGCGATCGGGGGATCACATTGGGCCCGCACCAAAGGTCACTCCGGCGAAAAATCACTCTTACGTCTAGCCGACCCGACGCCTTTGTAATTCTTCCGCCTGCATTCCGCCGGTCTTCGGCCGAAGAAGGCCAACCTCCACCGAGATTCGCTGTGGGAAACTTGCAGCATCGCAGAAAATGGCGACCGAGGCCCTGGACCCCATATTTCTGCAAAGAAGGTTCAACCCTCGATCCCTCGATCCCTCGACCCCTCCACCCCTCGACCCCTCGATCCCTTTGTCCCTCGGCCTACGACGATCGAAAGCGGTCAAGCCTTGGATCCCTCGAATGGGGCGCACAGGGACATACTAATACTATGTGTCCTCCTTGGAGGCGCGTGTCCGACCCGAACATATAGTATACCCATCTTGTAGTATCTCGTTTCCCGAGCGGTGTGGCCAGAAAGCGCCCGCCACGATGCATATGCTATACAAGATTTTACGGTACGCGCGTCGCCACTGGGGGCACGAACCACATATAGCATTCGGCGGTGGACAAACCTCCCTTTAGCAAACCACCCTTTAGTGAAATCAGCCTGGGACCGAAACCGACGGACCTGGACCCGCAAAAATGACGGCCGCGACGCCCTCTCGCGAACCAAAAACGGCCAATTCGCTAATCGACGTGTCAGGGTAGGAGGTCTATCCACCTCCGAAGTATAAGTATGTTGGGGTGACGCCGATCGAAGGCGAGGCTTATGTCGGGCGTGTCCCCCAACAGGGGGATTTTCGACGACAAACAAAAAAATACAAACATAATCAGAACATAATCCAAAACTAATAACATAATCAAAACACAATCCAAAACTAATCCAGGGACTATTTTCTGAGCAGTGTTTGACCATTCTGGAGTATTTTTTGAATATTTTCTATTCTTCGTCGAGAACCCCCCTGTAGGGGGACACACGCCCGACTTCAGGCGAGGCCCCCTTCTGGAACCGCCCTGCCTGGCGCACCACCTCCAGAGCCGAGTCGGTCGCAGTCGCGCAGGCCGGCGCGGCCGAGGCGGCCGCGCAGACGCTGGGCACGGCCAGGAGCCGCGAGGTGCACGAGCGCGCCGGCACGAGCCGCGCGGTGCCCGAGCGGCGCAGGGCCTGGCAGTCGGCCGTGCTCTGGTGCATCGTCTCCGGGTCCAGGCCTCGAGAGGCCAGTCCTCCTCCTCCTCCTCCTCCTCCTCCTCCTCCTCCTCCTCCTCCTCCTCCTCCTCCTCCTCCTGCCTCCTCCTCCTGCTGCCTCCTCCTCCTTCTCCTGCCTCCTCCTCCTCCTCCTGCCTCCTCCTCCTCCTCATCCTGCCTCCTCCTCCTCCTCCTCCTCCTCCTCCTCCTCCGCAGTGCGGGCGAAGTCGGGCTTGCCTCCCCCTGTGGGGGGACAGGCCCGACTTAATCCGAGCCCCGCCCGGACGCACCGTCCTGGGCGGGGTGGGCTATTGGGCCCCTGTCGGCGATCAGTGGGCGATTGGGGGTTGATGCGCCCCCCCCGCCCCCCGGAGCTTATCCCCCCCTAGGACTGCCCCTGGCGCGCGGCCTCGCCATCGGGGGCCAATCGCCGATCCCTCGGAGGTGTATCGCCGATGCCATCGATGCTCCCCCCCCCTGAGCTGGTCCCCCCCCCTACCGTTGCTCCTCAGCCCCCTCGGGCGGAGCCAGGGCAGGGATGGATCGTTCCAGGGCGGGCGCTCCGGAACGCTGTCAGGGCGCCCTGGAGCGCTCTGGCACGGCCGCGGCGCCCGACTCATCCTCCGGAACCGCCAGACCTCAGAGATCCCCGATTGATCCTGGCCCTGGCTTGTTTCTGTCCTGTCCTTGGCCTGTCCTGGGCCGGTTTTCCCC